CATCATCACAAAAAAGTTATACATCTATTTTCGAAGCTAATTCTTAAAACCCACTTTTCCACCAAGGTCAATGCTTTCTTGTTTTGTCATTGATCTTCCCTCTCGTACAGAGAACGATCGAGCAAACCATTAGAAATCTCTATAATGCCTTAAGGTTTTGCTTACTTTCACTATAAAAAAAATTACAAATTCCTCTTAAGAGACTTTTTTACTGGAAAACTACTTTAAGAAGCATTAGTAAAGTCGTCCCAATGAAGTCTTAATCGCTGCAAATTCTCCTGAGAGAATTTTAACATTAATTTAAAATGGCATTGAATATACAAGACCATTATAAATCTGTTAAAATGAGATGCTGTACATATATAAAATGAACACAATAAATGATACAAGGGAACCTTCAATTTAGAGCATTTAGGAATGACAACTAGCAATTCTTCAACATTAAATAAATCTTTAGTTCACTTTTCAGGACAAGCACATCTATAAATAGCAAAACTCACGCCTAGGAATACATCATATATAGCATCATATACATTATGCTCATTTATAAATCTATAATGTGAGTAGAGGTGTAAGTGAGCCGAGCCGGCTCGTGAGCTGGCTTGAGCTCGACTCGTTTTTGAGCTCGCGAGCCGAGCTTATCGAGCTCACGAGTCGAGCTCGAGCTCGCTTTCCGACTAACAAGCTGAGCTCGTTAGTGTTAAAACTAGACTCGTTTACACACAGCTTTCACCTTTTGTACTATAGATAGAGATAGAAATTTTTTTATCATTATTTTTTATATCTCTGTTAATAATACTGAACCATTAATAATGCTCATTTTGCTCTAAAATAGATGAATAAATCCGTACAAAAAACCCTTACAATTCTTATTATTTTATTGGCGGTGGTAAAATTAGGTACTGCACCTTAAAAATTATTCAGGATAATCCAACTAATAGATTTTCAATTTATAACACATTTGCCTGTGATAGCAAGGGGAGGGTTCGGGCTATCTGTAGGCAAGCCCAATCGCCAGTTCTATCATGTTGAGTGTGAAAGCACAAGTTTGCCAGCTTGTACCAAGCATGATATATTCTCTTATTCTGAATTGCTGATTTAAGTAGCGTATATAGTATTAATGAATTATCTTAATATTTAAATGATTAGAAAGATGTTTTCAATATTATCAGATCTTCAATTAATACACATAGTGATTATATGCATAGTTAAAATTAGGTGTGTTGCGGTCTGAAAGATTCGTGGCGGTAGAGTGAGTAAACTTTTTGTCTTAGCGATGCACGAATATCCAACACACAAACAGAAAGAGAGAAGTATAACACCAAATCTTTTTACGTGGAAAGCCCGAAGAGGGAAAAACCACGGGGCCTTGCCCAGGTGAAAATATTCCACTAAACATGAATGAATTACAAGGGTTGACCATGATTAAAAAGATGTTTTCAATATTATCAGATCTTCATTTAATACACATAGTGATCATATGTGTAGTTAAAATTAGATGTAATGTGAAGCCTCAACAGAGGGAAGCAAGCATAACCATGAATATTGAATTAATATGCGTCATGCCTAATCATATGATATGAAACATATTAAATTCTTAAGTAGATGACATAACCGTAGAAAGTCGATAGATACCATTTGTTCCTATATGAATTTGATAGAAATTTAAAGATGGATATGCTCTGAATATCATTACAAATAAGAAAATATTTATTAGAAAAAATATGTTATTTACATTCATAAATTCAAAATATTACATCAATATAGTGTATTCATTATCTTTATATAATTTTATTTAAGTGATTGAATCTCTAAAATCTTTTTTTTTTATTAATTAGGATAATTGTTATAATTTTAGAAAACAGTACTAGTGTTTGCAAGTGACCACATCTTCCTCTTGGAATCGATCGATAATCTACTATATCGTTATATTACTTGATTTAACACGTATACTTGCGAATATTAAGTGGATATTTTATAACTTTTTTATATCAAAGATAACCTAAGCTTTGTTAGAGATTGATAAAGCCCTAATTCAGTTCATAATTCTATAGGTTACTCCATCACTCTCATCAGATGCAAATCCGTCACAAGTTTGTGGCATATACTCCGTTGCAAATATGTCACAAACTAAATGACAAAAATTTTCTTCGCAAATCCACCACAAATCTGTCACAAACCAAAGGACATAAATTTTCTTCGCAAATCCACCGCAAATTCCTGACTTTCTGTAGTGCACAAAAAAATTGCCTTGATCAGGCATGAATCTTGATGCAAATATGAATCAGAACTTTCAAAATTAAATTTAGGATCATCCAAGCTTCAATTTCAGTAAACTTATTGTCAAATGAAACATCTCAAGAAGATGAACTCAACGACATCAAAATCAGTCAAATTCGAGTCTAAATGAGCCCAAATCAAATGATCAAAGACAACTTGCATTGAAAGCATTAGAGCATTAATTGGATGACTAATTAATATTCAAATATGACATGCTTATAGTCGACTCAAGCGACTTGACTGACAAATCCAAAGATCCTAAGATCACTCAATTTTGACATCATGAAAGCACTTAAATGCTCAATAGATATTCTATGGTCAAGGGAACTAATATCAGCCATTTGATGGAACACTCCCAACCTACCCCTGATTTTTCCATATTTACTAATCTTGACACTCCCAAAAAATTATAAATAGCCCTCCATTCTTCACATAATGGGGGAGGAAAATGAGAGAAAGCTTGAGAGCTATCTTGTACTCTCCATCCGATACTGCCACAACCAGAGTTATTCCGACTATTGATTACGATCGAACGTTTGCCCATTCTCCAATTATCATCGCAACTCTTCTCAGATGCTACGAACGCAATATCTCATCTCAAATATTATTGTTCAGCAACTATGGTACTTCTGACCACTGTCGCCCGCTGACTACGATCCTTCCGACAATTGTCGTCCACCGACTGTGATCCTTTTGACCACCGTCGTACGCCATTTATGATCCAACTGACCAAATAAATATATATGCCAAGACTTTCTTAAGAACTGTTGCCATGTAATACGCTCTAGAGAGAGATATCATTTGTTATCAATCATCAATATTATATGATTCATTCAAATTGGGCTAGGACCCATAGTTTTTTTCCCTTTTTTTTATTTTTCACTCAAAAATTTTAGTGTCTCCTATGCATGATGCACGTAGCTTACTATAATTGTGTGTTGGATTTACGTACAAAATTAGAATGCTAAATTTTATATATCTCTATCATGGCAAATATTTCAAGATGCAACAGAGCTGAAATTCTTCCCTTATATTCTATGCGGCAGGTTTCAAGTTTTTTTTATTTCTTTCTTCAAAGGTTTTTTTTTTTTTTTTTTTTTTTTTTTTTTCTCTAATTGAAAATTTTGTTGTTTTTGGAATTTTTGTCCTGCTACTGGGAAATATTTGCTGCTCTTGCTTCGACTTCTGCTTCAGTTTGGTGATGCATTTTTTGGGCTCTATGCCCTTCTTGTTTTTTTGCATCCTGACTTTTGCACAATAACGAACACGTCCAACCAGGCCTCCCTATTGTATGGCCTGAATAGTTCTCTTTGGGAGTTGTTCTCTCCCCTTTAACCGCATCAGTTTATGACAACCACAGTCGGATGACCGTAAGTTGTTTATTTTATTTTATTTTATTTTTGGAATGTGATATCTACCTACTGTCACCTCAGCTTATGAGGTGCTTGGTGGCGTAACTAATCCCTCAGCTGACCTAAAAGAGGCACCCATTCCAAATAACCTCATGACCCGCACTTATTGAAACCCCATTTAAGAGGCGCTGTCGTTCTGAGGGAATTCGAACACTGGTTGGGGAGTTCCCAACAGTACTCGCCCACCAACCAAGCTAAACATCGGTGGATACCAACAGTTGTTTAGGAGTCTTTTATTCCTCACATGTTTCTCTTTTACCGGTTGGATTGATGTGGCCTCTAAGTCCTAGGTTGGTGCAAAAAAAAAAAAAAAAGTCCTAGGTTGGGGCACCTCCATTTCTCTTCATTTCATTTTAATTTTTGATGCCTTAAAATTGTTTTTGTTTTCTTTTTTTATGACATTTACACTCTTAAGTAGCACATTTCGTGAATGAATTAGGCTCTGACCCTAATTAAAAAAATTAATAGTACTAATTATAAAAAATTAAACAAATATATAATATGATTCAACTCGCGAGCCGATCTTTGCCAAGTTAGAAACCAAGCTAGTTTAATAAAAGTGCTTGAGCTCATGACTCTATAAACTTGGCTTTCGAACTCATTGTAGAGTTGAGCTTGAGCCGGCTCGTTTGCCAGCATTACTTGCTTAGGGCATCTCCAACCGATAACTTCATTTTTCACGGCAAAGTAACGCAAAACTCCAAAATGGCGTGGTGATGCTCCAATCGAACGCTATTTTAGGTGTTTCTAGGAAGGTAACGATCGCTCTCCCTTTGGCGCGTTTTTCCGGTTGAGAGCACAAAATGGCGTGAGTGAACAGTGCGACGTCAATATTGGCGTCGCACTGTTCACCTGCAATGAAATGGCGGAAGTTTTCGCGTTCGGTTGGAGCGACGGAACGACTCCATATACTCGTTTAGCGTTCGGTTGGAGATGACCTTACAGCCCTTGTTGAGGGCAACTTGAAAATTTTTGAGACACGACACCGCCTTTTCTGCTAACAATTCATATCTGGGATTATTCTATCACATCCCATTACATATATGCTGAAATAAATTATGAAATTAATTGTTGTAGCTAACGTATTATTATACGTTGTAACTTTACATGCAGATAGCCACAGCAATTCTATATTTCTATTTCCGAGCTCCTTTTGCCGCTTACTCTAAAAAGCTTCTAGACCAAAAAACGAAAGCATTAATTAACATTAACTATCACATTAATGAACCCACCAGCTAAACCAACCGACATCACTCCCCATTTCCCTATATATGAAGAACCCAACAACGCCCTTAGCAACACCACCAACCTTTCCAATTCTTCACCATTAGCTCCCACACTCCCAGCGACTACTCCTCTACCACAGCTTCTTAACCATTATGTCTCGTCCGGCAGCGGCGGTGCTTATGGCGGCAGTACTGGTTGCGGTGTTGTGGCCTTCAAGCGAGGCAGCGATGTCATGTTCGGTCGTGTTCCGGAATCTGATGCCGTGTCTCGGCTACCTGCAGTCAGGCGGAAACTCTGCGCCGCCGACTCCTTGCTGTGATGGGATTACTGCTTTGATGGCTCAGGCGAAGGTGAAGGCGGATCGCCAAACGGCTTGCACCTGCTTGAAGACGGCGGCGGCCAGTGTCACCGGTATTAACTTCAGTCTCGCTGGAGCTCTCCCGCAAAGGTGCGGCGTGAATATCCCGTATAAGATTAGCCCTTCCACTGACTGCACTAAGTGAGCATCTCTCCCTTTTTTTGTCTTGTTCGCATGCGTATTATAACCCTATTCATTAAATGTATTTTTTTATTAGTTTAATGATAAATATAGATGCATATTTTTATGTATTGATTTTTGAAAATGAAGTTTCATAATCACAAGAAAATTTATTAAAATTTATTTTTTTAATGCTTCTTAAAGCAACATTTTTACTAAAAAATAGTTTAAGAAACAATAAAAAAATTGTCTCAAGCTCAAACGAAACTTTAGTCACACGGTATCAATTATGAGTATGTATAAAACGCTCAGCGGAGTTCAAATAATTTCTTAGCCATTGTTTAGGATAATTTTAGATAATTAGTTTTTCTTTGATTCAAAAAAAAAAAAAAAGTTTATTAAACAATAAAAAATCATACTGTCATTTGGATCAATTTTTTATTACTTCTTAAAACAGCTTTTTAGTATAAAAATTTAAACTTTTGTCCTATGAAATTATTTTAAGAAGTAATAAAAAAATCATCCCTAACGAAATCTTAATAAATTTATTTGATGTATAACTATACATTTTCATCATTAAAAGATGCTGCTTTTAAGCTTGTAAATTATTAAAATATTAATTGATAAATAATCAAAATTTTATAAAGCTATTGGTTATTTTATCATGATTAGCTGACTAAAGATTTTGGTGACCACTGTGCAGGGTGAACTAAAAGAGAAAGAAGGGTTCTGTGGTAAAATAAAGTGCTTGAAGAGATTCCCTGAGAGGAAAAGCCTTTCCTTTAAATCTTTGCTCGTGTGCTACTTACTGTACTTGTCGTTGGAGTTGTATCTTTGCGTTTAATTTGCTGAGCAAATGTCGTGTTGGTATTGTTCCTTATTATGTTATTTTATGGCTTTTGTTAATGAAATCTTATTAGTAGTTTATGTGCTTTAAACAATCTTCGTTAAATTTAGTTGTGGATATAAGTTATGTATTTATTAACCATGCACAAAATAGATCATTTTATTTTTTGAAGTGTTATTATGAAATTTTCTAATATGCAAGTTAAAGCTAATTTTAATTTTGATGAAGTGTTAAATATTAAAAGAAATTTATTTATGTAATGCTCTCTCTCATCTCACATTCGCCTTTATTACTCATTAGTGAACCCACTGTAAGAGCAATGCAGACCTAAATGGTTAAAGTTTCTCCTAATAGATTAGATTTATGAAATAGAAAGCTATTTGTTGCTAATACACAGCTCACTTTGGTCTGTTTGTTGGGAGCTTGGGCTACCAACTAAGAGGTCTTGGATTCAAATCTTGTGTATGTGATGTGTGTGTGAGTCTGCCTTAATCGGCCAAAAAGACCCAAAAAAAGATATTTGCTACTAAGAAATATTTGCAAAGGTTAAACAAAAAATTTCGGTAACAACAGATTTTATCTTAATTTTACTTGTTAAATTTCTTTTTATCTCAAAAAATTTCTGATAACTTAAAATTTTATTTTTATTAAATTTTGATTAGAACGATTTGGTCCAAATTTTCTTCACTGTTGAAATTCTTGTCATATATAATTATCGTATGTTGGAACATTCATAACGATAGAGCGATGACAATATGAAGTTCTCGTTCAAAGACAGGCCATCGTTGTCTTATGGCACACATTTTCTCGCTAAAGAATTTGATGTGTTTTTAATCCAGGGTTAGAATTACACCAATATTTATATCGGATCGATGCATTGATATCAACTTGAAAAGGTTTGTCAAAATTACGAAAGAGTTAGAATAGGGGCTGCCCTTAATGCTGATTTGAGGGAATCAAAATTTTGTTGTTGGTCATCTAGCCATAAGAACTGATTCTTTTAAACAATCGGTGAAGAGTATAGCTATAATATTGAAGCCACGAATGAATCATCCATAGAAATCAGCTAAAAAAAAATCATGGATTTAAGAAAAAGATCTTGGCATGGGCCCATCAACAATGGTCGAAATCTTGCATTGATCTACATGGATATCATCTTAGGAAATAACAAAACCAAAGCAATAAACTTTGGAAGAGGCAAACTCACATTTGGGAATGTTCAAGTAGAGTTTGTGGTGCTATATAAGGCCTTGAAAAGCTTCTTAAATGTTGTATATTCTACTCGAATGTGGAACTATATACAAGCATGTCGTCAAAATTAGCAACACGGATTTTATCTAAAAATGGCTTGGGAATTTCATTCATTAAGAGCATAAATGTGGATGGAGTATTACATAGACCAAATGGTAGCACCTTCCACTCATAACGACCTTGCTTAGTTTTGAAGGTTGTCTTCCACTCATCCCTAGGACTAATTCTGATTTAGTGACAACCATTGAGAAGGTCCAACTTGGAGAAAATAGTGGCACTTGTAGCTTGTCCAGCTGTTCATCCACTTGAGGCATAGGGAGACAAATTTGATTGTTATTTTGTTGATAGCTCTATAGTCCACACACATGCGCCAGCTAACATCTTTCTTAGAAGCATTATTTATTTTTCTAGCAAATCATCAATTATCTCTTATAAGATTGTATGTTCTTTGGGGTTCATTTTATAGTGTGAGAACTTGGGTATAATAGCTCCTGGAATGAAGTCTATTTGACGTTGAAAAGTTTTTAGTGGAAAAAGTGTCGATTGTAGTGATTCATTTACAATATCAATGAATTGTTGTAGAAGGGACCGAATTTCTGTTAGAGGAGATGTTGTTTGTTATTGCACAGAGTGCATTCTTTGATAACCAAAGCTAATAAAGTGGATATCTCTTTTCTAGACTACAATGAAGTATAGCCCGAAACTATGTGCATGACATCCTTTCCATTTGCAAGTTTTTTTTTTTGGGTTCTAATTAGCATTAGATATCAACTATAAACGCCTTTTCTTCCATTCGAATGAGTAAATATTAGCTGTGTAGTTATAAATAGCACTAACATTAAATGTCATGATCTTCCTAAAATAAGATGGCAATCATTCATTTCACGCACGTCGCATAATACCTCACATACATATTGTTTATTGATTGAGAAGGTCACTCTAAACATTTCATTGAATGATATTTCCATTTCTCGTTTCACCTATCTAATTTTATAGGGATGTAGATTTTTGTAGTTTTTAATAACAAGATTTGTACCATATATACACCTAATATCAATGAGAAGACCGCATACGCTGATAATACACCATGTCTTGAAAATTGCATTGTGTTATGAGTTTATTGGTAAGCGTGATGTTAAAAGAAGTTTCTCCAAGAAGCATAGAAGAGGTTCAACAATATCACCCATAACATCCTTGTAATATCAGTTTTTGCTCCAGGTTCGTCCGGACGAAGTCGGATCGTCCGGGATGATCGGTACAGGTTGTGCAGAGAAAATCATGTTTGTCAAAGGTTTCTTCACCCTTTTCAGTTTCAATTAATTGCAACTTTGGACAATTTAAACATTCATTTGATTTGTAGCATTGTTAGAAACAGCTGAAGCATTTCAATGTTGTTGGCTTGGAGTATGGATTATCTCAAATCAGTCCTTTGAATTTTTGCTAAAATTTGGGATCCATATTAGTATTAGCTAGAAGGTTTGGTTTGATAATGGGAAGAGGAGAGGGTGGTACTAATCTTGGACCGAATGACTATTTGTGAGAATCAATAGCAAACTCTAAAGAATGACGACACGTCGCAATAGCTTGTGACTGTCTAGTGATTTGGGTTTCAACTTTTAAGAAAAAATTGATTGCTTGTGAAGAGACATAATAGAATTTAATTCTAACTTGTCTTGTATAAGATCACTTAGCCCTCCAATGTACCTTGCAACCAATTGGTTTTCATTCGCATTGAGATTATTTCTCAAGCTCAATTGATAGATATAGGAAAGCACATACCCAGTAACTTGTCGCTCGCCTCATGGGATGAAGATAGCCAACACAGCTACTCGCCCTCACGCGAGGTGGGTGTTTTAATCCATATACATTCAAGTTTAAATATAGGAAACCATCTACCCCCTTAGCTAGCCCTATTGTGACCTATCAACCACTGAGTTTGACATATGCAAAGCATAAGCTCACTAACCTTTTCCTGCAGGCAACCCAATACTTCTCATAGGTCACAAGCGGCCCCCAAACACCATCTAGCCTTCGAGCGCCCCTTGCTTGGAACATTCCCACATACTCGCCCACTTCTATTCAGCAATACCAATCTCACCCTCACTATTGAGCTTCCCTAGTACATACTAGCTAGGTAGTAGGTACTACTGAGATCGCCTAGAAACAAATCATCAGAATTCTACAGCTCCCACTTTTCGTTGGCCAACTACGACGTGACAAGTCTCTATAGTAGTTTGTGTACAATTGTATTTTTTTTATATAGCATTTATTGCAGCCCCTCAACGAAGGGCGGAACTGTGTACTGCAGAGAAGGAGAGGGAAAGCCCCCCCCCCCCCTAATTGTATTTTTTATCCCAAGCCGACCTTTTTTTTCACGTAATTTGTCCCTCCAAAAATCAAAAGCCTCTTGGCCTTCCGCTATTTTCATCTGCATGTTAAATTTTTTTAGCACTAACAAACAACTTTTTAAAAAGCGATTATGTGCAAAATAAATTATTTGCACTCTTATATATTTTTTTATAAGCTAGCCACTTGACCCCCTGAAAGACAGGTTTTGTCCATGCCCACAACTCTATAAATAAGAGATGATAAGCAGCATTTTGTATCTTTTCAATATTATGATACGCTTCTTTTTCTTTTTAATTGAGATTCTAAGCATTTATTATAGATTTTCTTTGGCATTTTTCATTCTCACATAAATTTTATGATCTCGCATGCTCCCACGTCGGCCTGCAAGACTGCTGGTAAGTTCTGATATCATCCACAAATAAATTTGAATCCAACATATGTGGATATTACATCCGAATTCAAAACGTTAAATAATATTGTTGTATTCACATTTATGCTTACATAACCAAATAAAATAAACTATCTCACTGAAGTTACACCCGCTCAAAACATATTAAAAGATATCTGCATTATTAAAATATATGCTACTGAGTCTACTGACAGCCAGCCATTAATTAGAGAGAGAGAGAGAGCGAATAACGTGCGTAATGCATGAATGGACAAATCAACAATATAAATTAAGATAATTTTGCTGGTTATGACTTCGTAAGGGTTCGCATAATACCTATATATTCACATTCATTAACTTTATTTCTTTCAAAACACGTATAAGGTCAAATTGCATTAGCAAATAACCATTAACCACTAAGCCATACATTAGAAAACATTTGCTTTACATGCATCGCTTTACTGTTTGTTACACATGCAAACTCCACACTGAAGACTATACTTACGACAACTTTATAAGGGTTCCCACTTCCTTTTCCAAATTGAGCATCACGCAAGTTGAGTTGCTCTTATTATGACGATACATCTGATATAAAATCCTTCGATCACTGGCTCAGGGTGACCACTTCACCCTGTAATCACAGAACAAAATAAAAGCCATCAAACTCGCATCAGCAATGCATAGATTGAAAAGAAAAAAAAAACATACTAAATATTTTATATCATACGTAAATTAAATTTAAAATTATCATTATTATTTTCATATACCACTTATTCTTCTCCTTAATATAATTCAGTTATTATACAACATAACTAAATTTCATAATATTTTTTTTATTATTATTATCATTTTGAATTGAAAATTTTTAAATTACGGGTGATTATGGTAGGAAAATTTATGTCAAGTTATATTGAAAGAAAAAGTAACATAATCTACTTCAAAGCCTAAGTTTTGTACATAAATTTAAGTACTTTGAACCTAATCTTAATGCATTTTATATAAGAATATCTTTATTTATTAGGACACGAATGAGTTAGTGATAAATTTGTAACTTCAAGTGACCCAGTAAAACTTAAGATTAAATTAATT